CCCCACCAGCCACGTGTCCAGTTCCTGGGGCCCCAGCACGCTGCCCTCTGCCCAGCACAGACACACAAGGAAGGGGACTCAGGAGGCAACTCAGCTAGGGACAGGATGGTGGTAGGCCAGGGCAGGTCTGGGGCAAAGTAAAACTAGAGAGCAATCCCTTGGAAAGTGTCCCTCTTATAAAGTCCATCCGAGTGGCTGAGTAACAGGCTGCCACGGGTTTGAATCCCAGCACTGCCACTTAGCTGTGTGACTTTGGGTAAGCCAGAAACTTCTCTGAACCTCATTTTGTCATCTGAAAATTAGGGGAAGAGGTCATTGCCTTCACAGGGCTGCTTACTCAGAGGAATAAAGGAGATAATATTTATGAAAGTGCCCCTTAAGAGGCATGGCACACTGGAAGTTCTAGAAGGAGATAAAGCAAAAATCACTGTCCTTTGACAGTCTCATATGGGAAGAGGACACAGAGAGGGGGCCAGGCAGGGACTTTGCCCATCCAGGTTGGTGTCTGGCTATTTGGCAAATGCCCAGTGCCAGACTTTGACCTCTGCCCCAAGAGGGCAGTCAGGGGAAAGCCAGAACCAGAGGGAAGGGCAGAAGGGGGTGAAGGGTCGGCAAGGGCTCACCTCTCTCTTCAGGGAGCCTGGAGCTGTTCTGGGTGTCAGGCTGTCCTCCAGGGGCTCCCTTCTGCTCTGTCCACACCTGCTGAGATGAGGCACAAGATGCCAGGGTGGAGGTCGAGCAGCTGGGGGGCAGTGGGGTGGGGAAGGCAGGGAACCAGGGGTCGTCTCACCAGCTCAGGCTCCAGCTGCTCCAAGGAATCACAGAAAACCTCAGAGTCCAGGTCCCTAGGTGGCTGGGACTCTGGGCAGGGAGAGAGGTAAAATTAATGACAAAAGGGAGGCCATGGAAGAAGGAGAGGGGTGTACAATGGGACAGAGGCACGTGTTCAGGGGACACTAGAGACACTGCCACAAGACGCAGAGATGGGTCCCAGGAGCGAGGTCCCGGAAGTGGAATCCCAGAACCTGCCCCTGGGCCTTTGCACGGACAGCAGGTCTCAGTATCTGTGGGTATGGGGTGTAGCATCCAGCCTTCTCCCCTTACCCACCCTATTGAAAGCCCCCCACCCACCCCTGTTCTGGGTTTGGCTCTCTGCCCCTCCAGCCCAGGCACTAACCTGGACTTGGGGGTGCTGGTTTCCTGGGGAGGCAGGGAGGCTCGGGGGCATCCCCAACATCTCCATTCAGGGCCTGCTCTCTCCAGCCTGCTGAGACACAGCACCCAGAGGTGGGGGTGGGAAGAGGCTGGTGCCTCCCAGTGAGACTGGCTCCTGCTCCCCATCAGTCATGAGCTCTGTCTGAGACCCACTCCATCAGGGGCACTGGTTGGGAGTCCCTACAGGGACATCACCTGGGGCCCTCTTCCCTCAAATCCCCCCCCCCAACTGAGCAGCAGCCCCCTCCGCCTGGACCTGAGGAAGTTCACTCAGCACTTGTGGCGCTCACAGCCTGGAGGCCTGACCTGTGACCCTTCTCAGGAAGGTTTCCGGGGGCCTTGGCATATCAGGGATCACCTGGTACAAGGGCTCGAAGTAAGCAAACATGTCCTCTGCCACCTCGCCCAGGGGCACTGTGTCGATCACCTGTGGGGGAGGAGGTCTGTTGGGTAGGGGCTGGTCCCTCCTACCACTGTCCTCCTATCCCCCCTTGAGCTGGATCTCCTCCGCCCTGCTCCTGCCCTGTCATGCCCCTCCACCCTGTGCCCAGTCAGAGACCAGAGACAGGCAGGGCTGGGGACAGAGCATGAACGTGGGAATTCCTTCAGGTGTGTCAATGTGCAGGAAACATAATGGGGGTCAGTCCCGGAAGGGCAGAAGACAGGCCACCTAGCTGGGACCTCGGGGACAGAAAGAAGCCTGAGGCCTTTCCCTACCTTCTGTGCCACCAGCTTCATCTCAGTGATGTAGGCAGACATGGCCTCCTCCCTGCTCATCTTGCCCAGGCTGTTCCAGGCATCCCTGAGGGCAGAGAGCTGTGAGAGGCTGGTTGGCAGCTGAGGCTTGTTTGCCCTGCCGGTAGGGAGCTCACCACTTATATCGTCCAATTGGGTCCCAGAACCCGGGCCGGGGGACCAGGCAGGGTCCCATGGTAGCTTGCTTGTAGTAGCTGTAGAATCTCAGCATCTCTTCATAGGACGGGCGGTAAGAGCCTAGGCAGGTGGGTGGGAAGTAGAAGGCAGAGCATCACCCCTAACTCCAAGAGAGTGGAGACAAACCTGGGGCCACTCCCAGCTCCAACACTTTTGGAGGTGGGGGGAGAACCACCCTTGTAATGGGCAGAGATGGCGAGATGAGATCCCCAGAGTAGCCCAGGCAGGTACTTATCTGCATCAACTGCAGGGATCAGAGGCAGACCCCAATCTTGTAGACCCCCAAAGGCGGGTCCCCGTGCCCTCACCATTCTTAGGCAGGTTCTGAATGACACTGACAGCGGCCTGAAACTGTTTCTGGTAGTCCGGTTCTGGGCTTTCATTCTCGGTACCCATACCCAGTGGCTCCGAGCTCAGGGGACCCACTTTGGAGTGATTCTGCAAGAACACGCCTCCGTGTGAGCAGACCTCCACGGTCCACTCCGGCACACACCTCCGGACGCCACTGATCACTTTCCAGCGGGCCGAGCTAAGCTCTAGACCCGAGTGAGACACCCCGGGAGGTCTGAGAAGGCTACTTTTCCAACCCCAGGGGAGCATGGGTGGGGCCAGGGTGGGCGGAGAGGACCCTGGTGGGTGGGTGGAGGCAGGTGCCACGGGTCTCTGTCCCTCCCTCTCTAGATGCACCTCTCCAACTCCTAAACAGGAGAATGGGCAAGCCAAGAGAAGTCAGGGCGGGGTCAACAGTCTCCCACTCTGGTCCCCCACCCGCTCTGCCCTGGGGTCCCCTACCCCAGCCGCTCGGCTGTCAGGCACTCACCCGGCAGCGCCCACTACCCGGACCTAGGTCCTTTGTCGCCACTAGCCGGAGGCTTCCGACTGACCTCCCGGCCTATTCTGACCGGGATGTGGACGCAGGGGAAAATTTAAACCAATGAGAAAGCCCGTTTCAGCTTCTTTTACTATACCTCAACCACTCAGGGCGGTCCTTTCAAGATTATGCAAATAGTTTAGCTGTGCATCTCCCAATCAGCCGAGGCATATCCGCGGGCGGGCTCCCCAACCTTGTGGGGACCATAGGCGGGAGGAGGCGCCACCTGGTGGACATAGTAAAACGACGCAGAGTCCTCGCTCCCCCTGGTGGAAGCCCGCTTCGGTCCGCTGAACCCAGGTCCCGCAGAACCGACCCACCCAACTGAGTTCCTCAGGCCCTTCTAGGCGCTGGGGATAAAAAAAGGGAGTCATGCCCTGGAGGAAGAGGGGGTGCTGGAGGGGTTCTGCAGGAGGGGCATTGAAAGCTGAGTTTTGGAACGCGTAAGTGTAAGCCAAGAGAGGAATGAGGAAGGTCATTCCTGGAGGAAGGAATTGCAGGATCAAAAATGCAGAAAGAATATCCCGGGAGGGGTGAGGACCCAAACCAGTATGCTGGATCTCTCGGTCGAGGATATCTGAAAGTGGGCTAGAGCAAGTAGGTGGCAAATCTAGGTCCTGAGGAAGTAAGCTTTCTTTCTTTTTTTTTTTTTAAGATTTTATTTATTTATTTGACAGAGATCACAAGTAGGCAGAGAAGCAAGCAGAGAGAGAGGAGGAAGCAGGCTCCCTGCTGAGCAGAGAGCCCGATGCGGGGCTGGATCCCAGGACCCTGGGATCATGACCTGAGCCAAAGGCAGAGGCAGAGGCTTTAACCCACTGAGCCACCCAGGCGCCGCGTAAGCTTTCTTTTTGAGATGCCATGCTCTTGGCCGCCACCGAGGGGCGGTGTGCGCCCGGCTCTCCGCACCCAACCTGGGGCAGCTGCGGCAGACAACACTAACACGGTTGGTTTTCTGCCATCCCACCCTTCGAGCACAAATATTCTGATGGTGTCACATGAGACGGCCACCAGGACCCACACTCGACGCTCACCCACAGGTTGATGTCACGGACACCTACACAGGTCACGGCGGCCTTCCCCGGGGCAATCGAAAGCCCGCTGGGGCGCCAACCCATCCAAGCCCTCTAACCCAGAATCGGAGTTCAGCCGGGGATTCTAGACTTAGTGCTCCCCCATCTTCCCCACTTTGAAACTTCTGAAACCGAGGGGCCAACACCTGGTCTGGCGCGGAGAGGGTTAATCCTATGACGTCATAGCCAGAGCCTTCCTACACCCACCCATCCCTTCCCGCTTCCCCACCCCTCCGGTTTGGGTTGCCCTCCCGCCTGGCTCAGCTCTCGGGGTTCTCTCGGCTTTCCCGGCAGGCCCGAGGACCCTCGGCCCAGGATGAGCTGCGCCGCAGCCCCTTTCCCCTGTCCGGCTCCCTTCTGAGCTCCCGGAGGGGCAGGGAAGGAAAAGGTGGAGAGGGGTCCCGAGTCCTCCTCGAGTCAGGATCCAGAAAACGGAGAAAGTGTCTGTGCCAGAGGACAACCCTCGCCCCTCCGCTGGCCCCTCAACCCCCGAATAGGGGCTTGGCTCATCGGTGGGGCCGGGAGCCGAGGATCACTGGGAGAATGGGGAGGCAGACTCGAGAGCGGGGGACGGACGCGGAGATTCGGGGTGACTCGAGCCGGCCCCCTTCCTTTCCCACACCTCAAGGAGGACACACCTCCCGGGCTGGGGTCCCCGCCCCGCTCCCCGCCTCGCACCTCCCCCGGCGCCGTCCTCGGCCCCGCCCCCTCCCTCCGGGTCCCTCCTTCTCCCGACCTCGTCCCTCCCTCTCTCCCTGCTCCCGACACCTCCTCTCCCCGACTCCCTGCGGGCGCCGCTAAGTTTCTCCGCTCGGGACCGCGCGCAGAGCCGGGGCCGGGCCGGAGCGGCGTCCCCGCTGCCTTGTCCCCGCGCGCAGAGCCCGGCCCGGCCCCGACCCCACCGAGCCATGCTGTGCGGCCGCTGGAGGAGCTGCCGACGCCGGCCAGAGGAGCCCTCGGTGCCCGCCCAGGTCGCGACGCCCGTCGCCCTCGCGCCCCCGGACGGCGGCAGCAGGAGGCCCGGGCTGCGGGCGCTGAAGAAGATGGGTCAGTAACCGACGGGGGCGGTTCGGGGCGGGCGGGGACTGCCCGGGGGGCCGCCTGGGACGGCGAGAGTGTGCGGGCGAGCTGTCGTGGGCTTCCCAGGCAGCGAGGGTCGGAAGGTTGGGGGTCGCACCTGTGGTCATCAGACGTTCCCCCGCCGGGCGAGGCGCGCCGGTGGCCTTTGCTTCCCACCAGGAGGCGCCCGCGGGGCGTGCTGGCGTGGGCGTCGGGGCGCGGGGCGCGGATTGGGGTCCCGGAAGACCTGGTGAAATAGAGTGGGAGAGACACGCTGGGGGTGTCCCTCACCCAGCTCCCCAGAACCCTGTGCCTTCCAGGGTTCACGGGCGTCCCCGGGTTTCCTGGGTTCTTGGTCGCCGTTAGGGGGACAGGGGAGCTGTGGAAGAGGCCAGCCTCTCAAGCCGGTCCTCCAGCCCTGCAGCCCCCCCAGGGGTTGCAGCAGCCCCTGCTGCGACTTGCAGCCCGTGCAGCGACCAGGTAGGACTGGTCGAACTGGTGAGAATACTGTCCTTGGAGTGAGAAGGACAGATGCCCATCTCAGGTTCGGGAGAAGTGACTGCAGGGAAGGAATGTTAACTCCCAGAGTCAGGGGGCACTGGGTACCTAGGTGGCATCACTCAGTCTTCCTCATTCTCCTGAGAGGCACCTGGTATAATTCCCACTTCACAGATGGGGAAACTGAGGCAGAAAAGTTGAAGAATTTGTCAGTGGCCACACAGCTAGTTAAGGGCGGAGGATGACATGGGAGGCTGTGGGCAGCCACGCTGTGGCAGAGACCATCTCAGAGCCTGGGCAGAGTGTCACTGACTGGCTGGTTAGGTGGCTTGAATGAGAGGTGTATGAGTATTTTAGAAACATCCATGGGGTGCCTGGGTGGCTCAGTGGGTTAAGCCTCTGCCTTCGGCTCAGGTCATGATCCCAGGGTCCTGGGATTGAGCCCCGCATCGGGCTCTCTGCTCAGTAGGGATCCTGCTTCCTCTTCTCTCTCTGCCTGCCTCTCTGCCTACTTGTGATCTCTCTCTCTCTGTCAAATAAATAAATAAAATCTTTAAAAAAAAAAAAAAAAGAAAACATCCATGACCGTGAACCTGAAATGGTATGTCGCAACCGCTGTTGGTAAATAATTCATGATGGAGAGGTGGGTGTGGGGGAATAGGGCAGGGCTGCCCAGGAGACAAGCGTGAATCTCCAGGCAGAAGTCAGGGTGCCGATTGCCAGACTTGCCTTCTCTTTGTCACTGCCCCCCACCTTGTTCTTATTTCTACTTCCTGTCACTCACTCAGATCTGAATGGACTGAGCTCTGACTGTGTTCTGAGCGCGGAACCTGGCACTCTCCCTGAGGAGACGTAAGACACATGATCTCTGCCCTACCCTCCAAGCATTCATGCACGCGGCAGACATTTACTTAGTGCCTGTAGTAGGCTCTGTCCTGGAATTCAGCAACAAACAGGACAGACACAGTTCTGACCCTTTAGAGAGGGGAGGCATCAGCAAGGAGGTCAGACAATGAGGCAAAGAAACAATTCTAGGAAGGGAGAGGGCAAATCAGGTGCTGGGGAGCCAGCGCGGGCCCTAGCTAGACCCCAGAGCCAGAGGGAGACTGGAGCGAGGTGTGGGGGAGAGGCAGGTGAGAGCCAGATGCTCAAGACCTCTCCTTATAGAGTTATGGTCTTGCCCTGGGGGCAGCAGGAGCCCCAGAGGGTCTCAGGCAGGAGGAGGGAGGCAGGGCTCCTGAAGAGTGGGGGGCACGTCGGACAAAGGCAGGGATGAATCAGGGAGAACCATAAGAGGGAGGCTGAGGAATCCATTGGTCAAGCCATGGGGATGCTCAGACTTGGACCAGCACAGCTGAGTTGGGTTCTAGAAGAACCACCTAGGAGGCGGGCTGGGCTGGATCTGCGGCTGGTGGGATCTGAAAGGTGTCTGGTGGGTGACAGTGTCATTCTCTGGGCTAAGGAGCGCTGGTGCCTTGGGGAGGGGAGGGCTGTGGGGAGCTGAGGGGCCACAGAGACATCCGGGGCTGGTGTTGGGCCAGAAAAGCAGGGCTGGCGGATGCTGGGGGAGGGCTAGGGTGCTGCCTGGCATAGCCGGCTGCTTCTTCATTCCATACGCTTCTGCTCAGCGCTATCAGCATGTCATGGCGCTGTGCCAAGGCCTGGGGCTGTGTAGGTGAATACCACAGCACTTTGCCCTTGGGGGGCACACAGTTTAATAGCCGGAGACACTCACAGACAGGTCATACCTCCAAACCCAGGACTCAGCCTCATGGCATGAGTAAAGCCGCACGGGAGCTCAAGGCATCCCGTCCTAGGGACACTGTCAGGGCATGTGTGGGTGTCAGAATGTCACCTGGGCCACCCTCCCCTCCCACCGTTTCCCTGTCCTACCGAGTGACTGCCGAGAGAGGAATGTCCAGTTTCTGGGGAATGCCCCTTCCCCGGGCATCACTGATTCCAGGAACAGGATGGAGACAAAACCCAGGTGTCCTGGGGCCCAGCCTTTCAGGCCACCAAGGCCAGGCCCACCACCCAGGGAGCTCCCACCATGGCAGCCAGACGCAGCTCCTCCCCAGGTGGCTCTCAGGGCTATCCTGGTCTTGGTCAGGGCCAAACCCCCCAGGCTAACAGACAACAGACTTTATTTCAGGTCTTGTCAAGAGACAAGGGCAGGGAGTGGCTTGGAGATCAAAAGCTCAGAGGGGCCCACAGGAAAGAAAGGTCTTCTCAGGCGAATGGGGGAATGGGAACAAGGGGGGAGCTGGGACGATGGCGATGGCGGGGGTGGGGGAGGAGGAACACGACTCCCACACGGACCGGGAGTCATTTGTGGAGCCTGGGGCTCTTCTCCTGTCCCTTCCTCCTCAGCGGGGGTGGCTGCAGGCTTAGCCTGTCCCCAGAAAGCCAGGGAATAGCTGGGGAGAGTTAGAGCACCTGCCAACCCAGGAACAATGCTGAGCTCGTGTCTGGCGGGAGCCTACTTAACGCTTGGCATCCCGGGGAGAAGATGCTGCTGACGTCCTCTCAGGGCAGATCAGCTGGGGGTAGGGGATGACGTTACCAGCCTGGGGCCCGCATGGCTAAGAGACAACAGCTAAGGCCTAGGTTTCAATGATGGCTCTTTATTGCCAGAGTTAATGATACGAATTAACACCTTTATAACACTGAGCGAGGGCTTTTCACATATCAGCTCATTTAATGCTCACAATTGTATGAGGTGTGTGGTACCATGAGCCTCATCTTACAGATGAGAAACTGAGATTCCGAGATGCTGAATGCTGGGAAGCAGCTGAGCGAGGATTCGAACCCAGGCGTCTGGCCCCGGGGTCCAAGCTCCTGTCACAATGAGGGAGTGAGTGATTTGTGTCTGGGCATGGCCCGCCTCTCCTCTCAGCACTCCCCTGCAGAGGCTCTGCCAGCCCCTGGAGGGGTCCTCATAGGTGTTACATAAAATCCAGGACGGCCTGTTAAACGTGAGTTTCAAATCAACAGCCGATCATTTGGAACAAACTTTCACTAAAACATCACTTGTTGTTTATCTGAAATGTGCATTTAAATGGGCATCCTGGATGTCACCCTCCAGCCCTAGCCAGCCCTATCTCCCCAGAGCCCTTGTCTGTGCCCGCACCCCTCAGGCCCCGCCCCTGCCCCTAATCCTCCCCGGGAGCGGAGGCCTGAGTGGGCAGAATCCTGTTCCCTTTCGTCCCCGGCCTGCAGGCCTCCACCAAGTGCCACAGCGGCCAGAGGGCTCTCACTATGGCCTGCCCAGGACTTCTCCTGCAGGGTGAGTGGGACTGCCGCGCGTGCACTTGGCTGGTGGGAGTCCTGGCAGGTGTCTGGCCTGGTGGGAGGGAGAACTGGGTGGCCGTCCTGGCTAAGCCGGGGCCTGCCAGGCAGGACTAGGGGGCTGCCCCTGTCATGCCTTGTGGCCTCCCTCACCTCTCCTCCTCCTTCGGCTCTGGGGAGGCCTCATCCTACAACCTTTGCCTCCAAATAGGCTTCATGCGTGTTCTGGCCCTGCCCGGAAGGGTGCTGCCACCTTCGGTCGCTGTGTGTCTGGCCAGCACTGCCTGCCTTTCCTGACTGTGTTGACTTTCCAAAGAATGTTATGGACTCTGGCGCTGAGCTTGGCCGGGCCTTCGCCCTGGGTGTGGCGGCCGGCCCCAGCGAGGGGGACGCACTTCCCACCTGCAGAGCTGGGGCTGCCTGCTGGCCAGAGGGATAGGATGGGAAGGTGTTGGGACCCTCACCATCGTGTGTTCCCTCCCAGAACCCTCAGGAAAATCTTCTCTTCCTCTCCTCCCCCACTTGGCATGAAGCTGTTGGCTGCTGTTCCCTGCATGGCTCACATTCCTGCTGGAGCTCCGGTGCCCTTCCTGAGTGTGCCCTAGTGCAACGCACACATGTGCACACACACCCTAAATGCACACGCCCCCACACACACCCCCTTGCTCAAGACCTACCACTTTCACGCCCAGCTGCCTATGCATTACCCTCTTGTCTACACTCGCTGTAGCCCCACAGCACCCCCCCCACCCTCACCCCCCCCACCGGACAGCTCTGGCCTCTGGCCATCCACCACACGGCCCCTGTGGCCTTCCTAGGCTTGGGGGACCTACGCTGTGGTCGGCACACGCAGCTTGCCTTCTCATAGTACCAGTGGCCCGTCTGTGCAAACGTTGGTGGGGGGGGATGCGGTTTGAAGATCAGAGATGGACGTGGCTTCCCCACGGCCCTTCCAGCTCGGTTGCTGAAACCGCCTCCTGCCCCTTGGCCTTGGCCACCGACATAGAATGGCTCAGGGCTCAGACCACACACACACCAAACCGTCCAGGCTAAAGGTGATAGTTGGGAAACGGGGCTGTCCATTCCTAGCCTCCCCCTGGCCCGTCTCTGGGGGCTGAGATAAGGGGTTGGCCTAGAGAAGGTGGCCGAGCCCCTACTGACAGCACTGAACTGGGCTGGAGAAGGGCGCCGTAGGGAACCAGGAGCCTAATGAGGACAGATGGGTGGGAATACCTAGGTCCCTCTCCCCTCCCGGGCTACCGCCTTACTTTATCCTAATTTAGCGAGTTCCCACTGTGGGCCAGGCCCTCCATGGAGGGCACCTGCACATTAGCTCATTCGAGCCCCACACAGCCCTTTGGGGGTTAAGCAGCCCCCAACTCTCAATGCGTTCTGGATCCACAGCCTTACAGACCCAGGACCCTGGATACATTAGCTACTCTGTGCCTTTTGAACAGCTTTATCGAGATGTTAACTCACATATCAAACAGGTCACCCATTTAAGCATACAGTGGTTACTGGACTATTACGTTACTAATTTTTTTTTAAAGATTTTATTTATTTATTTGACAGACAGAGATCACAAGTAGGCAGAGAGACAGGCAGAGAGAGATGGAGAAGCAGGCTCCCTGCTGAGCAGAGAGCCCGATGTGGGACTCGATCCCAGCACCCTGGGATCATGACCTGAGCCGAAGGCAGAGGCTTTAACCCACTGAGCCACCCAGGCGCCCTACGTTACTAATTTTTAAAGCTGTGGTAAAAAATGCATAAGTGGCGATTTCAATGGCATTAATTACATGCACAGTGTTAAGGCATTCACAATGTTGTGCTCGCTCCAAAACTTTTCCATTACCCTAAACAAACAAACAAAAACCCCTCTGTAGCCATTAACCCGTCATTTCCCCCTTCCTCCCTTCCCGTAGGCCCTGGTAACCTCTAATTACATTCCATCTCTGAAATTTTTTTATTGAGGTGTAGGGGCCATATAATCGGTCCAGATGAATTTGACTATTTTAGACACCCCCTATAAGTGGGATCATACGATTATCTGTCCTTTTACGACTGGTTATTTCACTTAGTGTAATGTCGTCAGGGGTCATCCACGCAGCCTAGATCAGATGTGCCTCCTCTTTACGGCTGACTAATGTCCCACTGTATGTCTGTACCCACCTTTGCTTCTCTGTTCATCTGTTGATGGACATTTGGGTTGTTTCTATCTTTTTTGCCTTTGTTCATCCCCATTTTCCTACTGTTATTTAATGATTGTTCCCCCTCTGTTTGGTCAAGGTGGCCATGACACTGGCTCAGCCCAGCTCCACGTTCAAGGCAGAGATGTTTAGATTAGAGAACCCACAGGAAGCACTAGAGGCAGGCAGCTGGTACACCTGCTCCAAGCGGGTAGGAATGAGGCGGAGGAAGCATCTGTGGGTTTGGGCCCTGGCAGGGCCTATAAATGTTGGCTGGGTGCCTGGGCAGAGAGCCAGGTGCCTTCCAGTGCCTCTGCCCAGGGCCTGGGCCCTCCTCCTGACCTCACTCCTCCCTTACCTCTGTGGGTCCCGCCCTTCCTGTCTGGAGCCCTAATCCCTTCCCTACCCCAGGGCTCAGAAGCTGAAGCAACGGGGAAGGAGTGTCACCTGCTCTGGGAACTCAGCACCTGGCTCAGCCTGGCATCGAACTCTCATTCTATTTGGCTTTTCCAACGGATGCGTGTTTGGCAGCATCGTGAGCCAGAGACCAGTCCCAGTCCCCGCTGGGTGGACAGACTAGAGTGTCACCCTTTCCCCCAGCAAGCTCCTGGGGAGCTGGGGATGAGGACCAGGGGCAAGGGCCCCCTCAACATGGGAACCTGTCCAGCAGAGGGCTGATCAGAAGTTCTGGCTCCCTGTCTTGATGTCCTGTTTGCAGAATGCTCTGGACAAAGCAGGACCTTTGGTGATTCACCTCCATTTCCGGCCTTAGTCATTCGCCAGCCCCCCCTTCTCCCCCACCCTCCCCAACTATGGGCTTGGCCTCAGAGGACTGGCTGGGTCAGGGGAGGTAGCTCCTGCTGTGGAGCCTGGTTGTCATAGGAATGAGGGGTTCCTTTCCCATAGCTGGGGAGTTGGAGGGGGCTCAGTTGTGGTGGCACTGCAGGTTCCCCGAGTGTCCTGCCACTCAACCCATTGCTTCTCAGGCTGAGGGAATTCAGAAGTCGCCCAGATGTGGGTGCAGAGGGCTGAGGGTCTAGTGAGTCTCTTGGCCTGCTGTGGGCCACCTTCTAGCTCTTTGTCTGGAATAATGAGGTTTCCACCTCCCCTTCCTAGCCCAGTCTGAATTCTGAGAGACCCTTTGGAGCCCTCAGAGCCACAGGCTAGCCCCAAGGGGGACCGCGGGCTCCTCCAGATGGCAGGCTTCTCCTCCTGGCCCTGAGACCCTGATTGTCAATCAGTCACCCTCAGGGTCACAGGGGAATTTTTAAACATCGATACCCAAGACGAGAATCTCTGGGATATGGGGTTTGCCACCTTCTCCAGGTGAGTCCGATCACTGCCAGGGTTCAGAAACCATCCTGGCCTACAAGGAAAGGCCAGATAGGGTAGGGCTGGGGGTAGAATGTGCTTAGTTCCCCAGTTGTCGGTGGACATGGCTTGTCCTCCCCTTTCAGAAAACGCTGGCTGTGAATCTGGCTCTGGGATGAGCACCGAGATGTGAATATAAGACTTTGTCCCTGTCCTTGGGTTTATTAAAGTTCCCTGAAATTAAAATTTAGGTGGGATGCTTTAGTTAAAGTAAAAAGTGCTGTGGGTGACTGGGGAGGGAGAATGCCCATTTGAGGACAAATCAAGGAAGGCTTCCTGGAGGAGATGGTGTCTGAGCCCGTCCTTGAAGGAGTCCTCTGAGAGGCAGAGAAACAAGAAGGATCCTACAGAGGCTCCCAGAGAGAATGAAAGGTGGCTCAGGGATTTAGACTTTAGTTGCATGGGTCAGAGTTCCCAACACACAGGGCCCTGGGAGCCACAAAGCCTAATGCCACTGTCCTGTTTCATTTGGCTCACACAGTGGTGTTTTAGGGGGGTTTTGTTTCACTTTAATTTAGTTGCCAACATTGAAAAATCCAGAGGCTTCACAAACAAACCCAGCTTCCTGTTCTCTGGAAACTCTGGGCCCTCATCTGCTGCCCTCCTCCTTCCAAAGGGCATGGACCCTCCAGTTTGCCACATTCCCACTCTTTCTATTGTCCCTTGGCTCGTAAACCTTCGGTATCGACCTGTAACACAACAAAGGAGAGCAGGCTGTGGTAACACCAGGACGGGTGGCGTCTTCACTGAAGTTCAGCTTTTGCTGCTCAAGGTCGGGGGCTGTTGCGGTCTTCACTGTGTGCGTGGAGAACACAGGGCCCTGAGCGGTCATGGTTACTGCCACCAAGGCTGTGTAACTCAGAAGTGACAGAGTTGGGATTTGCCTCCCTGGGATCCTGAATTTAAATCCTGCAACACCCCCCTAACCATGTGAGCAAGGAGAAGGGACGGAGGAGCAGAGGGGTTCAATGCAGTGGCCACAGGGACAGGTGCTGGGGCCCGACCTCCGGAGTTTGAAGCCTGCGTCCACCACTTTGTGGCCATGGAATTCTGGCAAGTTCCTTAAGCTTCTCTGTCCTTGTTTTCTCGTGTGTTCATTCATGACTGAGGGCTCGTGTATGGTAGATGTTTTGTAAGCATTTCTTCCTACTAAGGAAAGGGAGAGCCCATGTGGGGTGAGGTGGGATTGTGACAGTGGCTGGGCACTGGGGAGTGCCGAGTGTCACAGCAGACCATGCTTTCAGCTGGACACAAAGAGGACACCTGGATATCAGCCCCAGGCTGGCCTTGGCAGGGCTGGTCCTGGAGTTGTTGGCCTGTGACCCTGGAGCCAGGGTGGCCTCTGCTATCCTCCCTTGCCTTGGGGAGCGTGGAGGTGAGGAGCTTGGATTGCTGCAAGAGAGATTTAGGTTAGATAGTGAGGCTACCTTCTTGATGTCAGGGTTTCACATCAAAGGAAAAGGCTGTGGGTGGCAGATTCTGGTCTTGAAGTCTAAAGACCGGGATGGAAGGGAGTGGCACAGGGTGACCTTGAGGGAGTCCGAAGTGCCAGGTGCTGCCTGAGGGACTGCTCTGCTCTAAGGGCCTCCGGAGGCAGCCGCTTAACCAAGACAGGAGGTACTGGTGCCCTCCCCCGCTCCAGGGGCTTGGGTGGGACACACCAGGTGAGACCTTGGGGCAGAGGAGCTGAAAGGCCAAATCCAGTCCTGGGGACACGTTAAGCTAAGCGGAGGAAGAGTGGCCAGTGAGGGCTTGCCAGGCAAGGCCGCTGGTGGCTGCCGGCTGGGAAGAGGGTGGAGGGAGCCAGGGGCCAGGGAGGCCCCGACATCGCAGTCAGGCCTCCCCCCCCCCCCCCCCCCCCCCCCCGCCTGACGGAGGACGAGGACGTGCGCGCTATGCTGCGGGGCTCCCGGTTCTGCAAGATCCGCTCGCGGACGTGGCACAAGGAGCGGCTGTACCGGCTGCAGGAGGACGGCCTGAGCGTGTGGTTCCAGCGGCGCATCCCGCGCGCGCCGTCGCAGCACATCTGTGAGCTGGGTCGCGCGGGCTCGGGGCGGGCTGCCTGCCGGGACAGCGGCCTGGGGACAGCGGCCCTGACTCTGCCGTGAGTGCCCTGTACCCTACCCCCCTCAGTCTTCGTGCAGCACATCGAGGCGGTCCGTGAGGGCCACCAGTCCGAGGGCCTGCGGCGCTTCGGGGGCGCCTTCCCGCCGTCGCGCTGCCTCACCATCGCCTTCAAGGGCCGCCGCAAGAACTTGGACTTGGCGGCGGCCACGGCCGAAGAGGCGCAGCGCTGGGTGCGTGGCCTGGCCAAGCTGCGCGCGCGTCTCGACGCCATGAGCCAGCGCGAACGTCTCGACCAATATCCTGCCCAGCTGCTGGGGTCCGGGGGATCTGAGGGGGACCCGTGCTTGGGGACCCGAGGGCGAGCCCCAGCCCCTGGTCTTCAGATAGAGGGTGGCGCTGCGGTCTCCGGTCTCTGGGGAGCCCAGCCCCGATCCGTGGAGGCCGCGGGCAGAGGGGAAGTACAGCCCCTGGACCCGGGAGCCCCACCCCGGGGGTCCCTGGCAGGCACCTGGGTGGTGGGGCGGTGGTGCCCAGGCTGTTGCCGGTATTTCCTGAGCGCCCACACCTGGATCCACGCCTATCTGCACCGGGCTGACTCCGACCAGGACAGCAAGATGAGCTTCAAGGAGATCAAGAGCCTGCTCAGAATGGTGAACGTGGACATGAATGACATGTATGCCTACCGCCTCTTCAAGGTGGGGTCCTGCCCCCACTCTGACCTCTGAGGCACCCACCTCACTCACGGCTGGCCCCTTGCCCTGCAGAAAGGCCACATCTGGGCCTACTTAGCCTTTTGTACTCCCCCGAGGGCGCTGGGCCAGGATGGGCACGGCAGTGCAGAACTTCTCACCCTCAGGCAGAGAGCCCAGGGGTGGGGGGTCCCTCCGCTCCCCCAGAGAGAGCAGCAAAGCTGTGCTTTTCATTTCTCCAAGTCTGCGGGCAACCTTTGCACTCGTGGCCGTGCACAGCTTGCACACGGTGGTGCAGGCAGGAGTCGGCTCACGGGCTCACGTGCCCGCCCTCCTCCACTGTGACACATGGGGCACCTCCCCATGTGACCGGATACACCCCACATGTGGGAGCACTGACGGGGGTACACGGGGGTGCTCTGGGCATCAGAGGCCGGGTCGGAGCTCATGACAGATGCCTGTGTGGGTGGTGACTGTCTGAGCCACCTGAGACACGGAAAGACAGGGGAGCCATGGCACCTGTCCACCTGAACCCACAGCAACACGGGGACTCCTCCCCGTGAAGTCAGTTATCTGTGGCTCACTGACCGCGGGCGTGGGTCTGGGGACGGAAGGACGGCCCTGCACACACACACACACACACACACACACGGGAGGAGGAATTATGGTCGGTCCTGCCCCTGGGTCACTGCTTTTCCTCCCACATCTTGATTTTGGGGGGAAAGTCATGGTGCAGAGGGACAGGCACTGAAGCCAAGAGACCTTCCTTAGAATCCCAGCCCCGCAGCGGAGCAGCTGTGTGAGCTGGTGTGCTAGCTCCCAGTGTCTCTACCTGTGAACTGGGGGGTCCCCGCCTGCCCAGCGTGGTTGACGACGGGTGTGTCCGTCGGTGCGGGCCCGCTTTCCCCAGGCGTCCTCCTCCTCTGAGCCGCTCCGCGCTGCCTTCCAGGAGTGCGACCACTCCAACAACGAACGGCTGGAGGGGGCTGAGATTGAGGAGTTTCTGCGGCGGTTGCTGAAACGCCCTGAGCTGGAGGAGATCTTCCATCGGTACTCCGGCGAGGACCGCGTGCTGAGCGCCCCGGAGCTGCTGGAGTTCCTGGAGGACCAGAGCGAGGACGGTGCCACGCTGGCCCATGCCCAGAAGCTCATCCACACCTATGAGCTCAACGAGACAGGTGGGGGCCTGCCCATGGGGGGCTGACAGACGGGGTCGGGGTCAACACGGTCCTGTCTCGGCATCTGACAGGTCCGGGGGCTTCCAGCTGCAATTACTGGCTGTGGGTGCCATCTTGGGCGGGTCACCTTTAGCTCTTGGAGATGCAGTTGCCACACCGGTGACATGACATAGCAGCATACCTGCCTTGCGGGGTTTGGCTGAAGATTAAATGACTTGTGGGGGCTCCTGGCCGTCTCGGTTGATAGAGCGTGTGACCCTGATCTTGGGGTTGTGAGTTCGAACCCCGCGTTGGGTATAGAGATTACTTTAAACAAATAAATGGCGTAACTCTGGCAGGGTCCAGTCAGTAGGTAGGCACTCATTACTAAGCTGAGTGAGCTTTGGGGCCCTGCGCGGCCAGACACGGGAGTCCTCCCGGTGACCTGACACTCTCTTCGACCCGTCTTCACAGCCAAGCAGCATGAACTCATGACACTGGATGGCTTCATGATGTACCTGTTGTCACCTGAAGGGGCTGCCCTGGACCTGGCCCACACATGCGTGTTCCAGGACATGGGCCAGCCCCTCTCCCACTATTTCATCTCCTCCTCACACAATACATACCTGACTGACTCTCAGATCGGGGGGCTCAGCAGCACGGAGGCCTATGTTAGGTACCGTAGTGGGGGATGGTTGGGGTGAACACATCTGGGTTCTATGGGGCTCAAGTTGGGGGTGCTATGGGGCTCAAACCTGGCTCAGCCCGTCCATTGCTCTGCTCCATGGCTTCCACATGACACCTCACCCACTGGTCTGTCTGCCTGTCCACAGGGCCTTTGCACAGGGCTGCCGCTGTGTGGAGCTAGACTGCTGGGAGGGGCCAGGAGGGGAGCCCATCATCTATCATGGCCACACCCTCACCTCCAAGATCCTCTTCCGAGACGTGGTCCAGACTGTGCGTGACCACGCCTTCACTGTGAGCTCCCAGGAACCCCATGCCCAGCCCCAGAGCCTCCTGCAGTGACCCCAGCATCCTCTGTCCTTCCAGAAGAAACCCCCCCGCCCCCCTCCCAGAGAATCGCTCACTCACCCAGTGCCACTGGGATAGCTGAGTGAGAGGCTCCCTTCCTCCACCCCCATGTTTAGTAAATGCAGTAAAATCACAGAATGTCTGGAAGAAAACCTTGCGGGTAGGGAAGGACGTTTGAATCATGATTCCCAAAGAGAAGGGCACGAAAGAGAAGTTCAGCCCTAGAGTCTGCATAATTGCAACTCCCGGCAAGCTATGCATGAATCTTACCCTCAAAACACGATGGGCATGGGGGCCTGGTGGGCTCAGTCAGAAGAGTGTGCAACTGTTGATCTCGGGGTCAAGAGTTCGAGCCCCGCGTTGGGTGCAGAGATTACTAAAAAATAAATAAATAAATAAATAAATGCACTTAAAAATTACGGGCTGTGGGGGGTGGGGAGTGTGTAACATAAACAATGTGGCCAATGTCATTGACACATAAAGGGCATTTAAACAACAAAACCATCCCTGCTGCTGCCCTCAGCTTCCCAGACATTCTCCCCTTCCCCAGAGACCCCAGATCTGGCCCCTGGACCCCCAGGGACACACTGGTCCCAGAATCTGCCCCATGTCCCACCTACTCAGCCCCCCGGAGTGCCTTTGCCTGTCTGTCCTGAAGGGGGCTGGGGCCAGGTGTAGTAGGGGTGCTGGGAGCCGGAGGGGGAAGTGGCTCTGAGTTGCTGCCTGTCTCCCCACCCCCCAGCTGTCCCCGTACCCTGTCATCCTGTCCCTCGAGAACCACTGTGGGCTGGAGCAGCAGGCCGTCATGGCCCACCATCTTCGCACCATCCTGGGAGACGCGCTGGTGACACAGGGGCTGGACACGCAGAACCCTGAAGAGTTGCCATCCCCAGAGGTAATGAATGTCCCGGACTCTGAGCCTGGGTGGGGGGAGGAGTGGGCGGCAGTCCGTCATCCGCCCCTGCCGGGCCACCTCCGGGGGTCGGGACCCCATACATCTCTCTGCTGAGCCCGCCCCACTCAGGGCTCTCCATGCCCTCCCCCTCGCTCTCCCACCCCACTCTGCCGCCCTGCCTACAGGGTCCCCGCAATCTCGGCCATTCCCACCTCCAAGGCCTTGGTTGATGCGTCTTCTCCAGAAACTCTCTTCCCAGCTGTCTGCCCTTGCCAAGCGCCGCTGGCTTGGAATTCTAGCTCAGCGTGGACCACCCCCTCCTGTGGTCTGAGGAACCTCCTTAGCTCTCCGGCCTGGGTGGTTCTTCCTCCCCAACCCTGGAACATTTTATCTGCCTCCTCAGGACATTTGTGTTTTTCTGGCTCCTTGAGAAAACTCTCCTCCTACTCTCAATCCAAATATGCCGAGAACATTGACTCATCTGCGTGTGTGTGTGTGTGCGCGCGCGCGTGTGCGTGTCTGATTTTATTTTTTTTTTATTAGCGTGAAACAAACATGGTTAAAAAAAATCAAGTCATACAAAATTGTATACAATGGAAAATGGGTTTTTGTTTGCCCTTGTCCTACTTCATGGGAAGTAACCATCTTTAAGTCTCTTGTGCATCTTTCCAGAATTTTCCTGTGTGTATAGACTTAACATGCGGAACTATCTTCTCTTTCAAATGTTACACAACGAAGCGTATGTGATTACATGTTCTAGAGTCACTTTTTTCATGGGAGATCTTTTTGGAAGAGGGCTCCTTCTCGTTCGGCTCTGAGCTGCGTCATTCATTGGAAAGGCCACTGTGTCATATTCTTTTTGGAGGGACCTCCCTAGCCAGTCCCCTGTTGATGGCTCTAAACATTGTTTCCCATGGTTTTTCCTGTTAGAAGCATTCCTCCTCTTGCGTGCCCCCCCCCGTCAGCCCCTCCTCACATAGAGGTGGTTGTGTGACTGATGGGGCAAGAGGAAATAATCCTTCCATATGTGGTCTCTACAGCAGCTGAAGGGCCGGGTCCTGGTGAAGGGGAAGAAGCTGCCAGCTGCTCGGAGCGAGGATGGTCGAATTCTATCTGACCAGGAGGAGGAAGAGGAAGAGGAAGAAGAGGAGGTGGAGGCTGCAGAACAGAGGCGGCGGGTGAGGGGGGACGGGTGAGGGGGACCAAGCTGGCTGGGGCAGGGAGGAGCAGCCTGGGGAGGGGAAGGGAGCTAGGAAGACAGAGGGGCTGGAGCCAGTGGGCCCCGCCTCTGAGGCTCATCTCCCAGGCCAAGCAGATCTCCCCTGAGCTGTCGGCCCTGGTCGTGTACTGCTGTGCCACCCGCCTGCGGACCCTGCGCCCCAACCCGGTGCCACCCCAGCCCTGCCAGGTCAGCTCCCTCAGCGAGCGCAAGGCCAAGAAGCTCATCCGAGAGGCAGGTAGGAGCCGGACATCGGGCATCTGGGGACCAGAGGCGCCATGGAGGCCTGCAGGCTCCTGGTGGGGGCATCCTGGAGTTGGTCTGGAAAGGAGACTAAGAGGACTTCAGGGCCAGTGAAGGGGTCAGGAGGTCCCCGGTTTGGGGCTCAGGGAATGAGCGCCTGGCACATGCCCAGCTCCGGGCCACCATGGAGGGAGGAAAGAGAGTCCAGGGAGGAGGGAGGCTGCTGTCCGTCTTTGCTGGACTCAAGCCTAGTGGCAGGGCCAGACATAGTCGGGAGTGGTGGTGCAGGGTGACCAGTGGGCCGTAGTGCGGGCTGGGGGAGCCCTGCAGAGGGCGTGAGATCAGGGAAGGACTGGACCAGGGGATACCTGTGAAGACCCCAGACCAAAAGTTGGGGTGAAAGCAGCCAGGTGAAGAAGGGGGAGGGCTTTCGAGGCTGGAGGAGCAGGTCGGACGAAGGCCTGGAGGCATGACTTGCAGGAAGGGTTCTGGGGACCCGCAGCGCTGCTGGAGGAGTGCATGGGGGAGGCAGGATGAGAGCCGGGTGTCAGCCTGGGGCCCCCATTCCAGGCATTGAGAGGGGGGAAGGATGCGGGGATTTGGGGCTGGGATGCAGTGTCAGGATATGGAAGGGGGTCCTTGGCCCTCTCTGGGCTTCAGTGGCCTCCTCTGGGAGGTCCTCCCAGCCCTGCCGCAGGGGGGTCTGGGGGCAGGGGAGTTTAGCCTCAGTTCCCAGCTTGTCCCTAGAGTTGGGGCAGAGGAAGTTCCAGGCCCTGGCATTAGGTGAGGGACACCCAGTCGTCCCTCATCATCCCTCATCACCCAGGACTCATCATTGTCTTGCCCCAACTCTCCCCCAGGGAACAGCTTCGTCAGGCACAATGCCCACCAACTGACCCGTGTCTACCCACTGGGGCTGCGGATGAACTCAGCCAACTACAGCCCCCAGGAGATGTGGAACTCAGGCTGTCAGCTGGGTGAGCGGGGACAGCAGCAGGACTGGGGACGGGTAGGGAAGTGGCCTCCAGGAAACCGTGAGAGGCCTGGGCAGGGATCGGGCCACACAGCTTTCCAGAAGGTGGAAAACTGGGTTCTCCTGGTAATAACAATGATTAAAATAATTGTCAGGAAAATAAGTGGGAAAACAAATCTGAGTCATTTCTTCCGGACACCGTGAAAGTCTCACATTTTTTTTTAATATGGAAGTTCAAAACATCTACTCCCATGTATCCCCTGGCACACACACACACACACACACACACACACACACACTCACAAGCTCCCCTGAGTCACCACTGACAGGAGTGGGCTCTGGAGGGATGCTAAGCCCCAGCAAAGGAGCAAAGGAGGGGAATATGGTCTCCTCGAGCACAGATATGGAAACCGCAGACTTCCTTGGGTGCGACTCTGGCCCGGACCTATGCCCAGCAGCCCCCTCTGGCCTGGGGGATACCAGCGATCAGGTGCAGGTGACAAGGTCTGGGTCCCTTGGCTGCCACGATGCCATGATGCCCCCCTAAAACCCTGGTAGGGGTGGGCAGTGAGACCCTGAATCAGAGTGGTGAAAGGAGGGTCCCTAAGAGCCCCCTGCCCTGACCCCACTATGTCCACAGTGGCCTTGAACTTCCAGACGCCAGGCTATGAGATGGACCTCAATGCCGGGCGCTTCCTCATCAACGGGCAGTGCGGCTACGTCCTAAAACCCGCCTGCCTGCGGCAGCCGGACACAACCTTTGACCCTGAGTGCCCTGGGCCCCCCAGGACCACTCTCACTATCCAGGTCAGCAGCCTGCACTGGGCCCAACCCCAGGGTCACGGCCAGTTCTGGAGGGGTCCTAGTCTGCCGGGTGCCAGCCTGTACTACCAGAGTGGAGGCCTGGGGATGGCTTGGGGTGAGGGCAGGCTGAGTCTCAGTCCTGTGCAAGAGGGTCCGGGCGAGTGCTGAGGGCAAGGGGCTCCCTGCCCCAACCAAGGGGCCAGACCGTAGCTCCCCTTCATCCCCCACAGGTGCTGACAGCTCAGCAGCTGCCCAAGCTGAACACGGAGAAGCCGAACTCCATCGTGGACCCCCTGGTGCGTGTTGAGGTCCACGGTGTGCCTGCAGACTGTGCTCGAAAGGAGACCAACTACGTGCTCAACAACGGTGGGTGGGCGTGCCGGGGGCAGTGGGGGTGGGCGGGGGAGGGTGGCAGCTGGCTCCTGACTGCCACGCCTGTGCCCTAGGCTTCAACCCCCGCTGGGGGCAGACCCTGCAGTTCCAGTTGCGGGCTCCGGAGCTGGCACTGGTCCGCTTCGTGGTGGAAGATTACGACGTCACCTCCCCCAATGACTTTGTGGGCCAGTTTACGCTGCCTCTCGACAGCCTGAAGCAAGGTTGGCAGGGATGGAGCGGGATGGGGGTCCGGGCCTCTGAGACCCTGTTCGCCTGGGCTCGGATGTCCTCCGAGAGCGTGCCCTGAGCCCAGGGGTGGGATGCGGTTTGCGCCCCCACGGTCCTGGCCCTGCTGGGTGGGGGGTGCAGAGAACCTGACACATGGCTACGCTCTCCACAGGGTACCGCCACATCCACCTGCTTTCCAAAGACGGGGCCTCACTGTCACCAGCCACGCTCTTCGTTCACATCCGCATCCAGCGCTTCTGAGGGTGGGACTGACCCATGCTGGGGCTCCGTGGGCGCCAGGCTGCGTCCCGTGGCAGAGGCTCTCTCCCCCTATGGAGCAGAGGGGTAGAGGTAGGCCCAGCCCCTCCAGCCTGCTCACTTTGCCCACTCTACTCTGGTCTCAGCGGGGTGCTGGGGACTGCTTTGGTCCCCCCTGAGAACAGGCCGTGACCCTGGAGCCTTGGGACGGCCCCAGCTCCTCCGATTCTTGGCCCACTCCCTCCCTCATTGTGGCTCATGAAGAGCCAGGCCTGTTGCTGCCAGATTTGGGGTGGACACGGGAGCCTTCAGCTCTTCTCTGCCCCCCGGGGGGCCTAGTCCAGCCCTCTTCTTGCCCCCATCCCACCCCAGGCGTTAGCCATCCCCCGAGCCCCTCCCCTCACCAGGCTTTCCTGGGTTCCTCCCTCGAGCTCTTGAACTTGAGCTCCCTTTCCTAGGAAGCCTGGAAGTAAGTTTTAACTTGTGTCATAGAAGGGTGCGGGAGAGGACAGTAGAACAAGACTATTGATTAAAAAATAATAAAATAAAGAAGTCAGTTTATTTTACTACTGCTGTACGCGGAGCACCTCTGAGCTCAGACCTACAGGCTCCCGAGGAGGGATGAGGGCAGAGTCCCATGGGCCCCCTCTCCCAGCAGGGCTTGAATTTGTCTAAGCCAGCCAGGGAGCTGGTGGGGTGGGAGGGGCGGAGAAGAGCCCCAGCTCAAAATAACCTGACCCCTCCTCTTGGCTTAGTGCTGCTTCCAGCATCACGAGACTGTGGGGACACCAACTCACAAGCTTCCCCTGCCCTGTCACCATGAGGGGCTTGAATGGAAAAGGGGGATTTGGCAGGGGTGGGGGGGAGGGGCTTTTGCCAGGGAAGAACTGTTACGGCCCTAAAAGGGAATGGGGACAGGACTCTGAGGGACCTCAATAGACCCCTGCTTTCTGGGTTCAGATGCATCCGAGGCTTCTGTCTGTTCAGTAGATGAATCCGAGACTCAGGGCTCTCCTTCCACCAGGGACAAAGGCCCAGAAACCAGCCTGCTGCTCTGGGCTGTCTGGAGCAGCTGGGAGAGTGTGCCGAGACACTGGAGGGCAGAATCCAGATAGAACCTTCCAGAAAGGGGACTTTCTGAGCTTCAGGGTGGAGCCCTGGCATTTTGGGTTCCATCAGGCAAAAGCACCAACACTGAATTGGGACAGAGCTTGAGGACAGTTTCCGGCTTGGGGATGGCGCTGGGCTGGGGCTTGAATGGGCCCCATGGACCCAAGGGCCGGGCTGGCTCTCCTTCCTGCAACCTATGACCCCATGCAGGAAGTGAGAGCCTCCGCCTGCCCTCCGCACGCTGAGAGCAGCGTTTGGTTCTGATGATCTGTGTGTCTCATAGAGGATGCTCCCACTCTGAAGGGGTCAGAAGCCTCCCTACGAACGAACCACAAAGGCCTGGGCCAGGCAGCCCAGACACATGGTTCTCAGGGCGCCAGGAGGCCAGGTGGCTGGCCCGCAGGCCTGAGGAGGGAGGCCCTGAGGAGCAAGGTGCCACCAGTTACGGTGCACACAGAGCAGTTCGGGTTGTTCTGTCCCCACAGGGCCTGCTCAGGTCAGGGTTTGGGTGAGGGTCCTGTGTCGGGAGAACACTAGACCCTGAGCTGAACCCCCACCCCCCACCATCCTGCTTCTCTTCTCTAGTTTAGTAAAGAACGAGGAAGGATTTCCTGTTGGGGTGAGACCCCAAAGCTGGGAAGTCGGCCTTGGAAGGGCAAGTCTTCCGTGCGGGGAAAATGGGTGGGAATGATGATGGAGGGTGGAGGCAAGGAAGTCACTTTTAACTCCAGAGGTCCCGCCCACAGGGCTGTGTTCTCAGCCCAAATCTAAGGGTGGGGACAAGGCCTGAGCTTTCAGGGGCTAGAGTGACGGGTGGAAGAGAGGAGAGATACAGGGGCCAGTCTACTGGGGGTGGGGGCGCACAGATGATCCTGGGAGGAGGTCCTGTGTCTTCAGGCTGCAGCCCCCATTCCCTGGAAAGGGGCTCCTTCAGAGGCACCAGCCATGGGTGGCCTAAAAGCAGCACAGGGTCAGGGAATGGATGAAAAGTTCCAGAGGAAGAGAATGGGGTGTGTATGTGGTGGGGAGATGCGAATTCTAACTGCAGTCACTGGGGCCCTTCCTCAGAGAACCGCTCAGTAGGTGTGCAGTAGGGCCTGGTGACCGGCAGTGTTAAAAAGCACCCCCAGGGGCCCAGAAGGGGAGATAGGGCATCTGGATGAGGGCACATGGCAGTGGCTGACCCCCCCCCCACAGAGGGGCCACTGCTGCCCTGCACTATTGGGGTGCTCTGCTCCCAGCTGTGGAAGCTGGGGACTGGCGCCACTGCCAAGGGTCCCCACTGTCGGCCCAGGGCCCAGTGGCTCCTCTGTGAACCTGGTCAGTCCTGACTCCTTGCCCCAGGATGGGAGAAGTTAGGGGAAAAGAGCCAATTCTGCCCTGAGGGGAGAACCTCGCCCACGGCAAGTACTCCAAAGCTGTCTCCAGGGGACGCTCCGGAGCAGCCTTCCTTGAGGGGCCCTGCCGCCCTCTGAGGGGGTGCTCCAGCCAAGCCAGGTCCCGGGCTGGTTCCACTGCCACCTGCTGACCCGAGGAATTCGAGGGCAGAGAGGTTTGGTTCAGCTGCTTCCTTTATTAGAAACAAGTGAGATGTAACCAGTGGAACTACAATGCATTTGGTGCTTCCTCCCCCACCCTGGAAATGGATGCCCCTCCCACAGCCCAGGAACAAGCCCAGACAAAAGTGAAGCTTCCCCCTTCTCTGTTCCCACGTTTGGCCCACCTTGCCTGGAGTCAGTATCTTTGAACTGAAAGACTGTCCCACACAACCTCCCAGGGGACAGCCTGTTGGTGGGCCTGCCTTCACTCAGCAGCAGGGCAAAACCAAAGCTGACTTGTTCTCCTCTGGTTCTGGGGCAGGTTGGTCAGGCCACAAGAAGGCTGCCCCCTGGCTGGGTAGGCACTGGCCAGGGATGTGCTCATCCCCGACCCCTGGCCTGACAGTCGGGTCCTTACCCTCTCCCAGATGGCAGCTTCGTGAAGCTACCCAGGCCTTTGGGCTATCCTTTCAGTTGGTTAAATGCTGGTCATCTTTGGGCAAAGAATTCAGACCACAGGGACCCCCACACCTGGGCTTCAGTGAGCCGGCAAGGAAGGGGGTTAACGGCAGTTAGATGAGAGTTGCAGGCAAGGCCTGAATTTCCCATAAACTGGGTGCTGAGGTGGCTTGGTGTGGGCCAGCCTTCAAAACAGACGTCAGAGTCTTTGAGAGTAGGCACTGGGTGGGGGGGTGAGCCCTACACATACCTCCACCCAGAGCTGAGGCCTCCTTTCTACCCAGCTCTCTCCCCACACGGAGATCAGAGGCCGTGGGAATGTGCCAAGGGGTCAAATGTAGTCAATCCAAAGGCAGGAGGTACACGTGTGGAAACATGGAGTCCAACAGCCCAGCGGTGCCAACAAGGAGTACTGGGGGCAGGGGGTGGTGGGGGCCATGCCCGGGAGGCCCTCCAACCACAGTTGCCGGAGTCAGGTCCCAGGTGAAGAGCTTGGAGGCCTTGGGGTCATTCCCTTGTCTGGTCCATGCCAGCCACAGCTCCACCATCCTGTGGGGCTCCTTGTGGGGAGGCCCTGAACCCCAAGCAATGGTTCTCTCTGCGCTCCCTGACCTGAAGTCCTGGCAAGGGTGGAGTGAAGAACCTGGGAACTGTTTGGACAAAAAGGAGACTAAGCAGGCATCAAGCTGACTCCTGCAGGCCGGGGAGACAGTGCCGAGGGCTAGACGGGGTCCCTACGTGACATGACAGCAGAGTCCGGGGAGCAGGACACACGGTCTTGGAGGGAGACATGGGGGCCTTTCCAGGAGATGCTTCTTCTAGAGCAGGCTCGGACTCACGGTTTCCATCTGTGACCTGGTCAACCGAGGCTAAGCTCACTCCGGTGCAGTCCCAATCTCAGCGGCAGTTTGGCCAAGGCCCAGGCCCAGAGCTGACCGAGCCTACGACAGGAAGCCTTTCCAAGTTCCAGGTCTCGTCCAAGGAAGGAGAGAGTCCGGCACTTCGTTCTTTGATATCCTCAGACGTGTGCACAGGGTAAGCTGCTCTGGGAATTTGGGGCGCAGGGTGTCCGATGTCAGCAAGGCTGTAAAGGCAAGCCCTGTCTCTCCGGCTCCTCCCGTCTGTGGAATGCAGTGCACATCTTGCTAAGAACAGCAGCTTCTTTGGTCTGGGTATCTTGGAGTCAAGGAGTCAAAAGTCAGCTGGGATCGCTGGAGCACGGGGACAATGGGGAGAAGGGACGCCCCTAGTGGCCGCCGATGATAATGGAGGACAATGGGGCCGCAGGCTCCAGCAGCAGTCTACAGAGTCCGGCCCAAGCACTTTGCTCCAGCTCTGGGGACTCTGCACAAGTAGCCTCTGGCCAACCCGAAGCCCGAAACTCTGCTCTGTCAGCCTGCAGAGCAGGGCTTCAGTTAGTGGGAACTGGCGAAACCTGGCCGCCTGGCCGAAGCTTCCTCCCCCTGCAAGCGGGTGAAGGCGGCCAGGAAACCGGCCCACGTGCACACCCCGCTCTTCTCCCGTTTACCGTCTCCTCGAGCAACGTTCTGTACACACCTGCATAGGGCTTTCTGGCAATTCCAAGGCCTGATCCTCCCCAAGCTACTTGGCTGAGCACAGCGGAGGAAGGCCTACACGGACAGCCACGTGATCCGAGGCTCCGTCACTTCTGGGGAGACTGGCAGCATCAATAACCATCACCATCACCACAAAAATCCACAAAACCTCATCAGCGAAAATCAGACTCAAACCACGGCAACACGCCATCATTTCGGTCGTCAAATCCAGACCAGTGTCTGGCCACCGCTCCCTGCAACCACTCGCAGACTGCGCGTCTTGGAAAGAAGCACAAGAGATAGCCAACGGATCGGAAGGCACAGGCCAGGGGCTGGCGGCTGAAGGGGTCTGGATGTCGTCCCCACGCCATCCTCGGCCAGCCACCCCAGGGCTTTCTGGGTGCCGGCTCTTTGCCCTCTCTAGGATGAGCTCAGCAGGGATTGCACTGGTCCGGTTCTCCACAAGGTCCCAGATGCTACAAGGAGGTCAAAGGTCTCCTTCAAACTACCAGTCACCCAGGCAGTGGAAAAACAATGTTGCGAGGGACTCATCCCTGTAAGGTTGGCAACAACAGCAGGCGAAAGAGCCCCTTAAAATCAGTTGGCAGGACGACTTCCCACAAGGAGCAAGGCGAGGATGGGAGAAGGGACCCCATAAATGAACTCTGCTTCCGCAGACAGTCCCTGCTGCCCAGTGACAGGATGTGGGAAAGGCCCGGCCTATATGGAACGGCCAGAGTAGGGTCCCACCCAGGACGCCACCTGTGGTTCTGCGAGCTCCGAGCCCACCCAAGGCTCTGCACCGTCCCTCCACCTTTTCCTGCCTTCTCAAAGCGAATCATTTCGGCCCATCCAGAAGGGGGACTGGAAAAGATTCCCCACATCCTCTTTCTTCTGCTCCCCCAAGAAACGCCAATGCCTGCTTTCAGAACAAAACAGTTCACTGTACCAATATGTGTTTGCCACTGTCCTTGGATTCTAAATCTGATGAAGGATCTGGATTCAGTTTTCATTAGAGACCGAACATCCTTGTACATTTGGAACATGAAAGATATTTAAAATATTTATATATATATAATATATATATATATATATACTTTTATTATTCACCCGTTAACTCCATAATATGCCAATCACGAGCTAGTTTTCAGCAGTTACATTCCCTTGATCACGGCTGCAGAAGGATGTGATTAATTGGAAAACAGGGAGACCAGAGACACGGCCAGAGGTGACATCGCGCAGCCTACGCCATTGCAATACAATTGTCAAGTTCAGCGGCGGTTTGGTAAAGCCGGTTCAGTTCTGTCCCCTGTGCCAGGGATTCTCACGTTTGTGAAAAGGACCAACAAGTGGTGGGGTTCCATTTCCTGGTTTGACTTCTCAGTGGCTTTATCCAAAATCTCACTGGCAACCGATTACTGTAACACCAGCCCAACCTAGGAGAGCCAACGGGGAGAGGCAGAGTTGAGCTGACAGTTGTCCCAAGTCTGTCCCCTTCCCTTCTCCCTCCACACCCCACTTCAGAAGTCCCAAAGGACAGAGTCCCCTCGGTGCCACTGGGTTGTGTGAGCAGGCTCATGGGGAGCCCAGACCTTTCGCTCAACCCCTATGAGGGGCTTCCTGCATCCCTCAGATCCTTTGAGGAAAGCAACCGCCAGTCCCAAGGCCTTTTTCCAGCTCGTCTGTCACTGATTTTGTAAATGCTGATGACTCCACAGCCCAGGGCTGCCCCCTGGGGCTGGCAGAGGAACTGCTGAGGGTGACGCTGGGATGAGGGCAGGAGCCCAGCAGAGGAAACCCCTCAGATCTTTAGACTAGAACCTTCCTGGCTAAGCGCGGGCAGCAGTCACCTGAGGTAGTCCCCAGTGCATGGCTGAGGCGGCTCACCTCATGGGGGAGAGAAGCTGGAGACAAGCTTCTTGATTTTGTGTGGCTCTGGGGCCTGTCTCCTTTGCCACCCTCACACCAGCTGCTGAAGGGGAATGTGGGCCCTGCCGATGCTGGGGTTCAGACCTGTGGCCCCATCTCTGCTGGCGACATGAACCCCCTGAGCCCAGCCACGCTGCTGGGCCCAGACGTTACCTTCTCTGCTCCCATGCTGGGGCATTTCCAATTGTAAAGGTAATACTGCAGGTTGCCATCCCCTATGCCGAACTTGAGCTTCTCCAGGAAGGTTTTGTTCTCCATGAGATCCAGTGCATTGAACACGTCGAACCCTTTCTGCAGGGCAGCAGGGAGAAACAGGAACGGGTGAAGACAGAGAGAAGCTGCCTTGCCTTCCTGCCCATTTCTACCACATCCCAGCCGTGCGGCGAACCACCTCCCTTCGGAAGCCCCGGCTGCATCCGTGTTCGAGCCGAACTCCTGCCAGCACCTGCTCTCCAGGCTGGTTCTCGTGACTCTCAGAGCACCACGCCATCCGGCCCCTAGTGGGGTCCTTGTGTCCCGGTCACTGCTCCTGTGGTTCCGTGTTAGGACTCCCCAAAACACCGGGCACTGGCACAGTCTTCTCCGGAGACCAAGCCCCAAAGCGCGTCCTCTGAGAAGCTGGCTGCTATCAGCGGCTCAGCATCTGTGCCGCCCCTTAACTCCCTGACACCCCAACTACTACGCCTTCGCTGTGTCCCCTGGGCTTATGGCAGCTGCCATGCTGCTCTGAGACTGTGACAAAGACACTTCCTAAATCTCACCCAGTTGACCAGAAGGTCTTGCAGGGCACAGGCTGGACGGGCCACCATCGTGGACTGGCCTCAGTTCAGGTAGGACCCACGACGAAGGGCTGACTGACACTGACCTCTTCGGGGGTCAATAGCAGCCCGGGCCCCACCCCCGCCATGCACTACTGTCAGCCGCTCCCGTGACTCACCACGACAGAGACCCAGCTCCCCACTCCCACGCTGGGGAAGTCATGAGAACCCCTCTCCGCTACTCAGGCTCCTTGGCAGCGCCTTCGTGAGAACGAAACTCACTGAAATAAATCAGGAGTTCAATGCCTTCGCTTCCCGTGGACATTCCTCGCTCCCTCCTAGCGTGGAGCTGCTGGCTGAGAAGCGCTGGGCCCCTTCCTACGCGGAGCGGGAGGCCAAGCGGGGCCGGAAGCCCCGGCCTACAGGCAGCTCTGCCCACCACGGCTCCCACTGCCCCGTCCCCACGCCTCTCCGGGCCCTCCGGTCTTCTCCTCACCATTTTGGCGAGAACAAGGGCGTCGCTCATGAGGTCTAGAAGAGGGGTCTGGGTGTGGACGTTGTAGAAAGAATAAGCAGCCTTTAGACTCTTGTGGGTTGGATGGTTCATGATGGTGGAGGGAAGCGTATAAAAGCTGAGGAAGTCTGTCACCTCACCATTTGCATTCTGAAGGGAAAACAACACAAGGAGGCAATGTCACACAGGCCTGGGGACGCTGCTGCCGGGAAGAGCTTCCTACGGCTCTCACACCACCTCAGCTCTGCTCCCCGAGATGACTGGGTGCACACCGAAACAGGGGGCACAGGCAGGAGGGAACACACTGGCCAAGGGCACCCGGGGACAGAGCCAGGACGAGAATCCAGGCCGGACCACGGGCTGCCCCTGCAAAGTGCTCCCTGCGGCTCACATCCCCGCTGACCCTGGCCAGCACCACCATAAGCACGGCGGGCGGGTCTCCAAGGCTTACCAAGGAAGAGGGGTCTAGTTCTCTCTACTCCGTCACCCGCGCGGGGACTGGGGGTGGGGCAGGGGCAAGAAGGGCTCACGCCAAGTCCAGAGGGCATCCTGTTAGCAAGTACAAGCTACAGCTTCCTCTCTGCAGGGAGGACCGAGCAAGGAGGCTCAAGGAAGTCTAGGAGGCCAACACTGGCATCCATCAGTTGGGCCTCTGGTCCCCAAGCCACTGGAGGAGAATGCCTCTCAGGGGCCCAGAACTCCCCTCCCCGCTCACCTCCACCACGAAAGTGTCGATGATGTTCTCCTGGGGGTAGAACCAGTGCTCCACCTCCTCCTGGCTCATGACTGGCGTGAGGTGAAACTGCTTCAGGTACCTGGTGAGGAGCTGGTGTACTACTGGAATGTCCTTTTTTTCCATTGGTCGCAGCCCAGCTGTCTTGGGCGTCTGGAAGGCAGACAGACGGGACAGTATCAGGTGTGCTGAACGTGAGCCTCTGGACTCCCCGTCAAGTTCTGAAGGCACTGGAACCTTCAGACTGTCTCCCTTCCTACCCCAATCCTGGAGGCATCCACCCAGGCCGTCAAGAGAGAACCCTCAGTCACCCCTAGCAGTGGCCTCTCATGGCCCCCACACGCTCAGGCACGAGTCCTGCCTCGTCAGGATCTTCGGGCCTCTCCCTCCCAGGGAAGGCCACCCTCTCTGGCTGAGGCTATTGCTCCCACCTCTCATCCACATGGCCCAGGCCACTTTCCGAAGAAAACACAACCCATCACGCCCCTCCCTTGCTCTAAACTCCCTAATACGGAGCAGGAGACCTTCCACCCTCTGGACCGGTTGGCAGCTCTGACTGTCCTTCCTGTCCCTCTAGCCCCGTGGGTCTCAAAAGGGCTGATTCTGAATATAGGACAATATTCTGAGATATCTTCGGTTGTCACAACTAGAAGGGGTGCTACCGACATCTAGCGGAGAGAAGCCAGGGAAACTACCAAACACCTTATAACGTACAAGACGGTCCCCACAACACAATTACCCAGCCCCAAATGTCAATGGTGCCATGAGGGAGCAAAACCCTCATGGACGTGCTGGGGTGGGCACTGGCCCGGGCTACTCATCCACCTAGCAAAGCCGTTCTTGGCTCCTCTCCTCCAAACCCTCGCCACCTTGTCCCACTGCGCTGCAGCTGATCTGTCTGTGCTGGTGTCTCTCCGCTGGACCAGGAGAGCACTTCCCAGACCAGCTCCTTGCCTAGGCATGCTGGAACCCCTGGGCCCAGCAGAGTTGACACCCCGGGCCCACTCTGTCTGTCTGCTCAGACCCTGCCACACCAGTCTGCTTCCAGCTGGGCCTGCTGCAAGTTAAATTCTGAAGAAAATCACCAAACTCCTGGGACATCATCTTAAATCAGGATCCCACCCCACAGCTGCTTTTCCTTAAGGCAGGCTTCCGTGGAATGAACCCATGTGATGTTCTGGAGTAAATACCGGGTCTCACAGAACATCCCCAAAGACTCAGGACACAAGGCAGGGTCAGCCAAATCTGGAAGCGGGGTGGGGTTACAGTTTACACAGCTCGGTTACCGTGTGATTCAACTGCTTCTCTGTAGAAACTGCCTTTTTTTTTTTTTTTTTTAAGATTTCATTTGTTTATTTCACTGACAGAAATCACAAGTGGGCAGAGAGGCAGGCAGAGAGAGAGATGGAAGCAGGCTCCCTGCGGAACAGAGAGCCCGATGCGGGGCTCGATCCCAGGACCCTGAGATCGTGACCTGAGCCGAAGGCAGAGGCTTTAATCCACTGAGTCACCCAAGTGCCCCTAGAAACTGCTTTCAAAGAGCTGTTCCAGGACCTCAGCCACCCAAATTCCTCACTAATCCTGGTATCTCCGGGGAACACTTATTGACCTCATTTCTACATGGCAGCTCCCACAAGGACACCTCAAATTCTACACTGAAAGGGGCTCTCACCCACGGGCGGGGAGATCCAGAGATAGTCTTCTGGCTACGACACTACTTTAAGAATGCCCTCTGCCTGCCTGGAACTCAGGATAAATCTATCCTCACAACAGGAGGAGAAGACACCCATCACAGCCCCCCCCAATCTGTTTTTTGGGGTGGCATCTAACTGTCACAGTCTCTCAAAACAGGACACGGCTGATCTGGACTCAGTGCTGGACTAGCCTGATCCCAGGGTGATTAGGCCAGTCTGATAGCTGACAAAGGCAGGCAGGCAGCTCCCTGGTCGGTGGGCACCCAATAACCATGCTGACCCTGGAAGCTCTGCAGGACAAGCGACTTTGAGGTCATCAGGCTCCCAAAACCAGGCACAAGCAGAGAATGAGCAGCGGCATTTCTTCCATTGGAAAATTAGGTAAACTGAGACCCAGAACAGAAAACCAGCTCACTCCAGGCTGCCTACTCCTTCAACTGGCCAGACCTGGACTGGCGGGACCGGGATTAGAAATCTGGGCAACCTCCCAGGCTGGGGTCACCCCTCCTTCCCCTCAGTGACAGAGGCCGGGAAGACGCTCTGTAGCTTATTTACAAAGGCCCTGGGCGGCGCTGCAGTTCAGTGAACAGGTTTGTCTTTCTATTTATGCCTCACTTGGGTTCCAGTCACAAAGAATAGGTGTTCTCTGAGCTCATCAACAGCGGACACAGTAGCTAGCCCAGGTGCAGACACAGGAGAACTGAGAAAGCCAAACTAAAATAAAATCCTTGCTAGAGACAATAGAGACAACAGAGACAGGAAGTTGAGGAATTAGGAAACTCTGAGTTGGGCCACTTTTCTGATGCTCCCCCATTTCCACGGGCCCCACCAAAGCCTTGCCGCGTTCCTGCTGAGGGCCGGGCTCTCAGCCTCTCCCACTCCCCCACCCCCAACCACCGTCCCGGAGCACCACTGGCCTCTGGCAGTCGGTAGAGCTTCATGGTACGCTGCATGGTCATATTTCTGCTCAGGTGGGAGAACTTCACTTCAATCAGCTTCCGTGGGTTTAGGGACCGATGCCAGTACCTGTGGGGGACACCAATGTCCTATCCTCAGAGGATTCTGGCAAGTCCCACGGAGAGCGATGGCATGGTACTCTCCAGATGGCCAGCAGGTGGCGTGAGAGACACACCAGGCCCCAAGAGCGCCAGGGGCCAGTGCTGGGCTCTCCAACGAGCCCCCCCGGTTAATTTACAGCTGCCACAGCTCTCCCTGAATTTTCCGTCTACTTTTCTTGCTCCAATTCCAAAAGCCAAGTCCATCTCAGTTCTCAGAATGTGCATCCTCCTCCTCCCTCCTTTACTGCATTTGCCTAGTGTTTCAATTCTGAAGTTCTTGAGGCAGAGACTGTTCAATTGCTTAAAACAACTTTCTGGGGCAGAGGCTGTCCTTGGGTCCTGCTGGGATCAGACATGCTCTCTTTGGCCTACAGAATATTCAAAACAAAATGAAGCCAACCACTTAAAACTCCTGGACATTTACTATCAAAACCCAGATTTGGGCTGGTCCATAAAACTACAAAACCCCAACAGAATGACCCCCACTTCCAAAAGGCGGGAATCAGCAGGACTGGAGAATGGTGAACCCCTCTGGTCAGGGCACCCACTCTCCAGTCTGTTCCTACAAACTCCCCCTTCACTCTTCTGTGCCCTGCACCTGGCTCCCGTGGGCAGACGCCAACCCCCTTATCAGACAGGAGAGAAGTGGGATGCTCCCGGGCCAGAGCCACGTCTCAGACGCAAGCTCCTCAGGGAGAGCGGGCACAGCCAAGACCAGGGAGTGCCTGGCGGGAGACCTTTACCTGCAGGTGCCGACAGGCTTTGGTAATACCACCCCGGCAGTGTAAACAGCTTGGAAAATGCCCTCAAGGTGAACCCGCCGGGTTATTTCCCGGATCAGGACTGGAGCCACCCTCTTGGAGCGCAGCTTCTTGTGGACGCACAGGAAATTGATCTCCACCATCTTCTTCTCTCTGGAGAGAAAGGAAAAACCCCCAGGGACCGGCTTTTAATGAGGAAGGTAATCCCTTCAAGATCCGGGAGCCAGCACGTCAGCTCCCGCTGCCCCCCTGCTCTGTAGCACCAGGCAAGGAAGCCGCTCCTTTCAACCAGACCCCACTGTCAGAGGGAGGTGGGACTCAAGCCAACTTCTTTATTTGGAGGCATCACCAGGACCTGCCTGTTGAAACCCCACGAGTAGGATGGGGAAGTCCCCCCTGTAGCTGGCAGGGTACCTCAGAGTAAGTCAAGGGCTAGCTTGGAATGTCAAGGGTTCTGACACCCACGAGAATCTCGATCTTTTTTTTTTTTTTTTTTAAAGATTTTATTTATTTATTTGACAGACAGAGATCACAAGTAGGCAGAGAAGCAGACAGATAGAGAGAGGTGGAAGCAGGCTCCCTGCAGAGCACAGAGCCCGATGTGGGGCTCGATCCCAGGACACCAGGACCATGACCTGAGCCGAAGGCAGAGGCTTTAACCCACTGAGCCACCCAGGTGCCCCGAGAATCTCGATCTTGAAGCCCAGAGGACTGTGGTGGTTGGTTCTGATGTTTCCAGGGAAAACGGAGAGCAGAGCTCAGAGCCCCCACAACTGGATGTTGAGTCACACTGGCTGGGGCCCGCTTCTGAAGTCGCTCAAGTGCACCACCGTGTGACAGGCATTATAAGTGCAAACACAGGCCCCCGTGCAGAGAGCTCCCCGGACCTCACCGTGGACCCCATCCAGCCCAGATCACCAACAAGAGAACCAGCAGCAACTCAGCGCAAGAGACAGACAGTTCCTGTTATGAATTTCTATTCCCAGGACTTGAGTTCCTTCCCTTCACCCTTTCGTGGAAGGTATGCATATCTTTTCTACCCTGCTCCCAGACCAAGCAGGATGGCAACGTGGGGGGCGGTTGGTGCTGGTACTTACGTGTCATAGATGTGGATGTTTGCTGGAATGGCACTGATGAACCCAACCAGTTTCCGACTTGAGACCACTCGAACCCCGCAGTGCCACTGGGGGAGCCAGCCAGGCGGCCGGAGAGCCCTAGAAGAGAGACAGAGGCCGGGGCTGCAGGAGACCAGTGCGCTGGGCAGATGGTTTGCACTCCACAGCTGAGTCTGTTCTCACCTCCTACTCTACCTCTCTGGGGGTTAACAGCTAATTCTCTTTAGGGCCAAGCCCTCCTGGACACACATGGGCCCCTTCCTGCGGCTCAGCCCACCTGGCCCACTCACCCACCCAATCCAAGGCTGTCATACTGAGGACTTTGCACTCGATCGAATTTCTTTGTGCTAGCTCACTTTGCTCACTTAAGCCAGATGACCTGCTCAGAGTCTGGAGAGTCCCATGGTTGTGAGTCGAGCATGGAGGCCCCTGAGCTCTGGTTTCCACCTGCCCTCCAGGCACCATCACCACCCCCTCTTTCTGCCTGCCCAGTCTTCCCTTTCAGGCAGTCCCTCTCCAGTCCAGCAGGGCCATTTTCAGATAACCAAGCATGCTCAGGAACTGGAGAGGAAATGACTTTTTTTTTTTTTTTTTTTAAAGATTTTATCTATTTATTTATTTGACAGAGAGATCACAAGTAGGCAGAGAGGCAGGCAGAGAGAGAGGAGGAAGCAGGCTCCCTGCTCAGCAGAGAACCTGATGCAGGGCTCGATCCCAGAACCCTGGGATCACGACCTGAGCCGAAGGCAGAGGCTTTAACCCACTGAGCCACCCAGACACTCCCTGTTTTTTCTTTTGAAATCTCATTCCTCCTTCCCTTCTTACACCAAGTCACCATATAACACATGATCTCTTCTTCTGGGAACCAATGCCACTAAAGCCTCCCTCATCCAGTCATTCTGCCTTAAATAAGGTTTCAATACCTAGCTCCACTAGAAACAACTTTCCCTCAGATGTGGGAACTCAAAATGGACACCCTCATTTGCCATTCAGAGGCTGGTTCTTAACAGGGAAAGTAGGCCCACCGTGGGGTCCTGCCCCACGCCCCACCCGAGCTGCCAAGAAGGCCTCATGGCTCACCACAGCAGAAAGTCCGGGGAGTAGTCGAACCGGAACATATTGTCGTCGTCCTCCACGTAGTTCTCATTCAGGAGGCCATAGAGCTCTTTCAGCTGCGGAGAGACAAGTGGCCACCTCAGAGCCACCCTGCCATTGTGGGGGCGGTGTTTGTGTGGGGGGAGGCAACCCTAACTCCCTGGGGCTCTAAGCTTTCCAGAAGGACAAGGCAAACTACAAAAAAACAGGTTTCATCTCATAAATCCGTTTTGTTCCTGGCACGGCAGGGACTCTTTTGAAACAAGCACCCTAGCTGAACTAGGGAACCAAGCCCCCGAGAGCCAGAGCGGCAGACTTTGGTACATACAGCGACAGAGCAAGAATGGCATCCGGCTACCCAGCCACTCCGTCGTAAGATGGAGAATGAACACACAGATGAACCAGACAACAACTGCACGCCAGAAAGGTAGCACCTTGGGGGCTACACAGCTTAACTCTCGATCCACCTGAGAAGCCAGAGACTATTTAAGGTGGCATCTTGGGGGTGGGTGCCCGGCTGGTGGGGCAGGCGACGCTTGGGCTTGGGTTTGCGAGTCTGAGCCCCACACTGGGCGTAGAGATTACTTAAAAAATAAAATCTTAAAAAAAAAAAGTGGCGTCTTGGGCAGGCCTCAGAGGCAACAGATGGGGGCCAAGGTGGGGTATGTGTGTGTGTGTGTGCGTGTGTGTGCATGTGTGCGCACACGCATGCAGGTACACACGTGCGTGTCTGTTCCAACCTGCTTGGATCGGCTCTCAAGAAAGTCCCTGAGGAAGGCCTGAGGAGCAGCTGTCTCCACATGACAGCAGGGCTCACAGAAAATGGCGCCCAATCCACAGAGCGGCCTGCCCAGGCCTACTCACCACACCACGGTCCCCCAGGTCCAGGGCATCCCAGGTGAAGCCCTGGGGCAGGGTGTAGGGCTCCTGGCGGATGTTGTCTTTGTCAGGCTCCACAGGCCCATGGGTGTTCACCACTTCTCCTAGAAGAAGAGCACAGCTGTGAGCCTCACCCTCTGTCTTGGGGTGGGGGGTGGGGGACTCAGCTCAAACATCGACCCCAGCAAATTCCTCCTGTCCCTAGGAGCCCTGCATCTAGAAGAACACTTTGTGCTTAGCAACTGCAGACCGTCTCTCCAGCTACCCTCAGTCCCCAACGGAGAGCCAACTCGTAGCAAAGCCTCAGAACAATCACTGAGATCCAAGGTGGTTGGTTTTTTTGGAAATTCTTTTACATCTCCCTTTGGTTACTAAATGGCAAACATCTATCTTGACTCATTTGGCCTCCTGCCTTCCGGCTGGTATAAAAAGGGCCATCATGGTCCTGGCCCAGGCCCATCAACCTGGATGGATTTATAAGGAGTTGCAACAAGGCTGCTTTTGTGTCAACAGCAACAACAATGCACGGGGCCCGCTGCCGAACCAGACGATGGCAGCGAGGCGCCAGGCTCAATCTCCGCCCTGCCAGCCTTGGCCTTCAGCAATGTGGGCAGTTAACTGCTACTGCCAGCTTGGGCCCTCAGTGTTTACAGAGCCCTACAAGTGTCTTCAGGCTGAATCACTGAATCTACACAATGCTGCTGGGGAGTTACCCTCTGCCGCACCCCCGCCCTGGACGCCGCCCCTCCTCTGTGCAGTGTGTGGACAGTGCTGGGGGCGGGGAGGGGTGGGCTCAGATGATACAGCTCTGATGCCCATGCATGAGATACACCTGAACCAACTTGACCACTTATTTTTGGCCCTTGGAATGATTTGGTTTCCACAGTTCAGAGCTCATTCATATTCACACTTGAAAGAATGCAATGTTTAGTACATTCTGAAAACGGAGCCTTCAAAAGGGACCGACTCCGTACACGCTTGCTCCCAGCATCCGGCTCTGTACACACTCGGCACTCAATTCAGGCTTTTACTGACTTGTGGAGCCCTGGCCCAAATATGTCATTCCAATGTGCTGAAGGCAGCGGTAACGGACCCTTGGGGCAGGTGTAGTAGAAGAGACCACCTCAAGCTGTGAAGTGAGGACAAGGCCGTTAGGACTGACCGTCTCATTCTCCCTCACTCAGCACATGTACTGAGCACCGACCCGCGTCAGACACTGGGCACAAGTGCACAGCAGGGAAAAGACAAGGTCCTGGTCCCCACAAGATGGACCACCTTCTGGGCAAGTATTTAGTAAGTCATTACCAATGTGCTAGGGGTCACAAACTGGGAAGTGCAGGCAAGGAAGCAACTGGCCACCTCCTATTTACCATCTGGCTTCCCGGGAGATTTGCTTGGGAAAGAGGCTGTATTTTTCTTCCCTAGTTTAGAAACTGGCCTTTTGATTTATTCTTAAAATAGCCCTAATGAATTAATTTAACATAAGTCAATCTACTTCCAGTCCACTGCCATGTGAAATGTTTGGGGCTCACAAAGCCGAGAGGGCTACGTCCTCGGCAGGTCCCAAGGACCTTTCTGCCAGTCCTGTGGAGGTGTTGGTCAGTCCCTGCCTTGCACTGAATTTATACCTTTTTTCAAAATACATTTAACTTCAGAACCTCTTTCTTATTTTTTCCTAAAATGATTTCCATGGGCAAGATGTTCGTAGTCTTCCCCACTGTACTACAATCATCTCAAGGCCAATCCTTTCCCCTAGGCTGGTTACTAGGGCCTGCGGGCAATGAGCATTTCCATTCACTCCTTCACCATGTGTTCATGGAACCCAGGGTGCAGGAGTCCTGGGGCAGGAGCTGGTGTAATGGGATGGCACAAGCCCTGGTCACCACAGGCCCCGACAGGTGAGCAGGCACCTCCCCTGCAGCAGGATGAGGGTCCCTGACCACGATAAGCCAGCTGTCCTAGGTCACCTCAAGGCTGCTTGGTATCTGCAAGACATAGCTGACAAGGGAGAGTTCCAGGCCTCTGGGGTGCCAACGGAGCTGGGGAGCAGCCCTAGGCTCCTGCACTGTCCTGCCAGCAGCTGCCACCTGGGGGGAGAAGCAGGTCTTCCACCTTCTCGGGGCTCTCGAGCGCCTCCTGCTGGGCAGGGGTGGGAAACTGCCAGAGAATGGTCAGGGTCCATACAGCCAATGGTCACTAGGCCACCCGGACCCAGTAACCAAGTAAGGATACTGGGAACTTTATTTTTATTTATTTATTTATTAAAGATTTTATTTATTTGACAGAGATCACAGGTAGGCAGAGAGGCAGGCAGAGAGAGGACGAAACAGGCTCCCTGCTGAGCAGAGCCCGATGCGGGGCTCGATCCCAGGACCCCGGCATCATGACCTGAGCTGAAGGCAGAGGCTTTAACCCACTGAGCCACCCAGGCGCCCCGATACTGGGAACTTTAAAAAGAAAACTTTGTACTTTCACAGGGTTCCTTTCTGTACATTCTCCCCCCAAAATTCTCTCTGCCTTTCAACATCAAAGATCCAAAACCACGTACCACAGCAACCATGAGCGACTTGGAAGCAAAGAACATGGGATTTGGGAGACTTGAAACTGAACGGACAGGGCAAGGAAGAGGGTGAGAGTGGGAAGGCTTCTCTCTCACAGCCCAAAGAAACCATGTACAGGCCTGAGTTCTCCCTTGGGTAGTTACATGTACAAACGAGTCTAAGAATGGCGAAATTCCAATTCACAGAGGGGATTCAAAGTTTATTTGAGAACAGAACTGTGCGTGCATTTGGGAACACAAAACTGTCACCGTCACATAGCCTAAAACAGCTGCTGTTCAAAAGGCTCCTCCATGGCGAATTTAGGACTGTAAACTACAAAATCCCAGGTCTCTTTAGCGGTATACAACCTAATCGCGCCTCTCCTGACAAGGTGGGCAGTAAACAGTACACTTGAAAGGCTTTGCAACCACTGGTGGGGAAGATCACGGCAAGAAGAAGCTGTAAGTCACACTAACCCGAGGAGAACTAGGCTGGCACCTCAGCCACGCAGGCCAACCGAAGCTTCTGAGGTGGTACTCCCTGCGGGACGCCTCACGAAAACAAGGGAAGCCTTCCTTTGGGCCTGACCATGGACCTGAAAGGCAGACTGGTCAGGTGCTCAGAGCAACGGCCCTTGCCCCGGGCCCCACGTCACACACAGCCCAGGAGGCACATCCAGAAGAAATAACAGCTGAGCTCGTTCCACCTTCCTGAGGGCGTCAGGACTCCTGTAGCAACCATGTGGCTTTCTCACAAACTTTCTGACAATGAAACTGGAGACCCTACATTTACGGGAGGAGAAATGGAGGCAGATAACATAGAGTAACTGGACTGATGAGTAATAGAAAGAAGTCCGTGGACCCCAATTCATCTCTGTGAAGAATGGAGCTAAGTTACCCATTTGCAAATTCTTTTTCTTTTTATCTTTTTTTTTTTTTTAAAGATTTTAATTTATTTATGACAAAGAGAGGCAGTGAGAGAGGGAACACAAGCAGGGGGAGTGTGAGAGGGAGAAGCAGGCATCCCGCTGAGCAGGGAGCCCAATACGGGGCTCAATCCTAGGACCCTGGGATCATGACCCAAGCTGAAGGCAGATGCTTAACAACTGAGCCACCCAGGCGTCCCCCATTTGTAAATTCTTTTTTTTTTTTTTAAGGTTTTATTTATTTATTTGACAGACAGAGATCACAAGTAGGCAGAGAGGCAGGGATGGGGGGGGTGGGAAGCAGGCTCCCTGCGGAGCAGAGCCCGATGCAGGGCTCGATCCCAGGACCCTGAGATCATGACCTGAGTCGAAGGCAGAGGCTTTAACCCACTGAGCCACCCAGGCGCCCCCACCCCCATTTGTAAATTCTTAATGAAAAATAAAATTGGACCAAAAACCCCAAAACCCATCTGAAAACTGGGCCAAGATGACTGGCGGCCACCACAAAATGCCTCATCAAGCATTTCACTCAGAGGTGGAGGGTGTCGCTCTTGACATTTTTCCTGCTCCTTGGTGGGGAGTGGTCACTGGGACCCACTCCTAGTAATGCCCTACTAACAGCATTAACTGTGACCCACAGCCTTGCTGAAGGGCTCAGCCAGTGGGCCTGGGACCTGGCTGACCTGGGCAGCCTGACAGACAAGGCAGATGGGTCGGGACAGGGTTCTGGAACAGCGCCTGCTGCCAAATCGCCACCCCTCACCACCCAGGAAGTGCTCTGCTTTCGCTCTCCCTGGGGGCGCACCTCAGCTCGCTTCTGGATGGTGACTGAGCTGCCCAAGAACCGCATCTGCTCTATAGCAGTGCCTGAAACCTGCGGTGTGGACACAAATGCCCTCCAGGTTCCAATGCCACAGGTCTGACTGGGGACCTGAGAGTCCGCATATCCACAACTCTTAGGCAGTGCGCACCCTGCTGGTCTGAGGACCACAATGAGTAGCACTGCCCACCTCTGGAACAGATCATCTCTGTGGGCACAGCCGCCCCTTTCCCCTCTCCAGTCTTTGGCCCTGCCCTGCCCCCACCCCCTCTTCCCCATCAAACATTCTGGAAGAGACCAGTCACACACACAACCTGAAGGCCACTTACATTTGGTATCTGAACGCATGTCTTCTCAACACACTTACTTTCTCAGTCACAGAGAAAATGGGCATTGGGCCATCAAATGGCCCAGAATCGTGGTGCAACTGCTCCTGAAACTTCTCAACAGTTTAGGTCTGAAGTTAGCCATCAACGTTAGCTGTGGCTCAGTCTCAGAAGGTGTCTCTAACTCTGTGTCGGTCTCTTTAGAATCCTTCTAGCTTTTCTGCCTGTCCCACCCCTTTACGAGCTCAGTAGAGCTTTTTTAAAGGGTGCCAACCAGACCTGCAGAGGGCATTCCCGGGGTAGAGCCATCGCTGTTGAGCAAACTGTCAGGTGACGTGCAGTTGGGAAGCACGCACTGGCTGAGAGACAAAGGCAAGGGACTGGGGACTCGGCCCACACCAGGGCCAGATATCTGCCCGACAAGCAAGAGGGTCTCTCTACAAAATCTCTATGGGAAGACAGACCCGTGGGCGCACAACCCCACTCAGCCTGTGGCAAAATAGTTTCTTTGTAGATTTATAGTAGATGATAATGGACTAAAGGAATCAGTGCTTGTTCTCGATACGTACTCCTGTGAAACAGTAAGATCCCTGAACATTAGTGTTTCCTATTATGTAGTGTTTCCTACACTGCATTTTAAAGACTACCCTCTAAAAATAACCACCAAGGAACTCCAAGACTCTTCCATCCTCCCCCCACAAACTCAGTGTGGCACCCAACACACGGGTAAGACACATCCCTCCCCATCGCCTGGGGAAGAAACCACATACATACCCAGTTTGGGGACGGGCTGCGTGTCCCAGAACTGGTAGCTTCGCTTGCTAGCCTCCTCCATGGTTTTGGCAGGCCCCTGACCCACTGAGAAGAGTTCAATGGCCTTCTGTATTTCCTGGATCCTCTCGGCTGGCAAAGAGTTCATCTGGATGAGACAAAGTTGGGGAGAGAAAAGGCCCATTATGTTAACAAGCACTTTTGATTAATCACAAGTGCAAGAGTTAAGGGGTGTAACTCAAGGAAGGGGTGTGGTTCCTCCATCCCAATCCCAGAGGTCAAATGTCATATGACAACCAGAGAAAGAGTGGTTGGCGATGCGCTCTCTGGATGGTGGGTGCTTATCCTTCTTAGCCTCTTTGTTTGGTGGCCAAAGGAATACACGTTCAGTGTAAAATTTCAAACAATGCAAAAATATATACTATATATAGAAAGTAAACAGCCAACAATCCCACCTCTTAAATATAATCCTTATCATCACAGTCTTAATTTAGGAGGTAGGGTGAATAATATAATAATGATAATAATGATAAATATAATTTCAGGCTTTTTTCCATGCAAGCTCCAAGCACACACGCACAATTGTCAAAAAAAAAAAAAAAAACAGCCAACAATCCCACCTCTTAAATATAATCCTTATCATCACAGTCTTAATTTAGGAGGTAGGGTGAATAATATAATAATAATAATAATGATAAATATAATTTCAGGCTTTTTTCCATGCAAGCTCCAAGCACACACGCACAATTGTCAAAAAAAAAAAA